ATGACCGCTGGAGGTAGGTGGTAACCCGGTGATGAAGTCCAGGCTAACCACTTGCCATGGTTGTTCTAGGACAGGAAGAGGCTGCCGTAGACCTGTCTTCTTCTGCTTGCTGCTCTTCATCCGCTGACATGTATCATACGAGGTGACGAACTTCTGGACATCTTCTGCCAAGTGGGGCCAGTAGTAGTGCTTTGCGATACCGGTGAGCGTCTTGTTGCTACCGAAGTGTCCGGCGTAGAGGACGTCGTGGTATTCTTCGAGTAGTAACTGGCGCAAAGGAGGGTAATTTGGTACCCAGATCTTCATTGATCCTTTCCGGTACGCGATGTCGTTATCCCACTGTAGTAGATGTCGTTTTTCTGCCAAGGGAATTTCGGGGTCGGTGGCGTACCCGTGTGTGAAGAGTCCCTTGAGTAGTGGATTCATCCCTTTGACCTGAATAGCGGCAACGTGTGCAGGCCGGCTGAGAGCGTCTACTTTGTTTTTGTGACCGGGCTTGTACACGATGTCGTAGTGGAAGTGTGTCTCGAGGAAGTCGATCCACCGGACCTGCCGTCTGGAAAGGTTGGGTTGTGTCTTCAAGTATTTGAGGCTGCAGTGGTCGGTGTAGACGGTTGTTTTTCGTCCTTCGAGATAACATCACCATGCTTTGAAGGCGATGATGATAGCCAGGGCCTCCTTGTCGTGTATCGGGTAGTTGAGTTCTGTCCCGTGTAGTTTCTTACTTAGGTAAGCGATTGGTTGCAGTCCATTCCCTTGATCTTGCATCAAGACTGCTCCCACTGCTTGGTCACTGGCGTCAGCTTCGATGACGTAGTCGCGTTCGGGGTCTGGCAAAATGAGTACGGGTGCGGACGTAAGTGCTTGTTTCAGCTGCTCCATGGCTTCCTGGTGCTTCGACTCCCATATGTAGAGTGTGTTCTTCTTTAGCAGATTCGTGAGTGGTGCTGCGAGTTTTGCATACTGTGGCACGAACCTGTTGTAGTAATTAGCGAAGCCTAGGAACTGCTGCAACTCCTTCACGTTCTCGGGTGTCTTCCACGTGCGTACGGCTTCGATTTTCTAGGGGTCGACGTGAACTCCTTGAGCGCTCACCATGTGTCCTAGGAACTGGACCTTCTCAAGGGCAAAATCGCTCTTGGACAGTTTAACGTAGAATCGTTCTCGTCGAATAATTTCGAAGACGCGTCGCAGGTGTTTGACGTGCTGCTTCATGTCGCACGGGTAGATGAGGATGTCGTCCAGGTACACCACCACGCACTCGTCCAAAAGTGGTCGTAGAATGTGGTTCATCTTGGCTTGGAATGTTGCCGGTGCGTTGGTGAGTCCGAACGGCATTACCAAATACTCGTACGATCCATACCGAGTTCGGAAAGCAGTTTTGTGGATAGAGTTGTCCGCCATGCGTATCTGCCAGTATCCGGACCGCAAATCCAGTTTGGAAAATACCGTAGCTCCCCGAAGCTGGTCAAGCAGGTCATCGATTCGTGGTATCGGATATTTATTCTTGATGGTCTGCTTGTTAAGAGCTCGGTAGTCGATGCACATGCGCAGGCTTCCGTCCGGTTTCGGTGTGAAGAGTACTGGGGCACTGTACGGCGAAGTGGATGGTCGGATGAGTCCTTTGGCTAGGAGATACTCGATTTGTTTTTTCATGTCGGTCAGCTCCGTAGGGCTGAGCCGATATGGTGCTCGGAAGGTCGGCTTCGAACCCGGTTCCTCCACGATCTCGTGTTGATGCGTTCGGTATGGCGGTAGCTCATTCGGAAGATCGTCTGGAAGAATATCTTGGAACTCCTTCAATAATTCCTTGATCTTTCCTGGAGGTTCCGAGGTTCTCTCCCTGTCGTTCTCCACCTCTGTTGCTATTGCCAGGAATCCGGTGTCGGTTCGCTTCACGTCCTTCTCGAATCGTGCGAGTGTCTCCACTGGGATATCTCCTGTATCGTCCCAGTTGGGTAGCTGTACTCTCCGTCCATTGTTGTAGATGCTTGCGGTGCGGTTTACCCAGTTGATCTCGGGGTTGAATCTTTTTAGGAAGTCTCGCCCGAAGATGAAGTCAAGCCCTTTGATGTTGGTGATGGGGAGTGCAGGTCTCCAGCGCAGTGGTCCGATTTGTAGGTGTAACACTGCTTCGCCGTGTACTGGTAACTTGCTGCCATCCACCATCGTTGCAGAGAATCTTGAAGGCTTGTACTCTTCCCGAAGTCGGTCGATTACTGCCTTGTCGCAGACGGTGTGCGATGCTCCGCTGTCCACAAGTGCTTGGAGGCGTCGTCCTTTGCAGATGACCTTGAGCACGAGGGGCCGGCGTTGCTCGGAGTACCCAAAGATAGTTTCATTGATTGGGTCATAGGGTACATCCCAATATTCCGTACACACCTTTGTGTTGCTATGTACTCCTGAGTGGCAGCTGGCCGAGGCTGCTTGGAGAACGGCTCTTCTCCAGGGCCCGGAGTTTCCTTGACGACTGTGCGCGTCACTGATGCCGAAGAACTGGATGCATCCGGAGGAGGAGTTTGGGGTTTGCGCAGCTTCTTATAGACCCCCAGCTTCCTCTTGAGCTGCTTCAGCTCCACCGACGTCTTCCCTAAGGAACGGGTAGTCATTGTGGGCTGGTGTCGGGAGAGGACGTTGACTCCGTGGAAAGGTCGGCTTCTTTCCACAGTCCTTAATTTTTTCCCCAAGTTGTTCGGTACCGGTATAATCTCCACAGCTGTCTGCTTCTTTTGGAGTCCTTCCCGAATTTTCTCCAAGGCTCTGGCTCCTCGAAAATCATAGGTTTTCATTAAAGCATCTTTATAAGATAACTTTAATGAATTCTTATTATTTCTTGGGTCTTCAAGGAGTTTCACCGTCTCGGCAGAGTCTTTTTTCGCGGAGTCAGATTTTTCCTCGGCGATTTTCCCTGGCGAAGACTGGTCGTGGGGTGGAGATTTTCCCCTATCATTTCCTCCTCGCGTCGAATCAGCTTCGTCGAAGTTGATTTTCCCGGAATCCCTTGGCCGCTTCCGGATCTTTTTATTTTCGCGAGCTAGATCCGCAATCACTGGCGACTCCCGTTTTTTGGCTTCTGATTGGCCGAAGAAATTCCGTCACTGTTGCGTGCCCGATACTCTGCGCGTGCGGTTTTCATTTTGTTGCAGTCGAAGATTCGATGACCCGGCACCCCGCAAAAATCACACGTGTAATTGGTGTTTTCCGGACGTGGCCGCCCCTCGAATCTGTCGACTTCCATCGGGTCGGCGAACGTGGGGTGAGCCGAGCGGTCGCCCTGTCGTGTACTGCCGACGTGCGTCCGTCGTGTTCCGACGTTGACCATGTCGAAACGCTCCGCTGCCGAAACGACGTCACTGTAGCTCGCGTAGTTTGACGCTGCTACCTGGCGTTTCACTTCGGTCTTCAGCCCGGCGAGGTACGATTGTACTTATTCCCCTTCGGTCAGGTCGGGAATGCGGTTATAAAATTCCTCCATCTGCTGCGTGTACTGCGCTACACTCCCGAACTGTTGGTGTCGATGAATTTTTTCCCGGGCAAGGAAACTGGAATTTATCGGCTCGAAGCGTTTCAGTAGGTCGGCGCGGAACTGCTGCCACGTGGCTTCACCTTGGATGAAGGTACTGTTGCCGCCAATCCACTCGAGTGCCGACCCTCGCATCAGAGTCGCTGCGAGTCGTACACGTTGACCGTCCCAGACTGGCGAGCTCCATCCGACGGCTGCGAAGTAGATCTCCATCCCGGCGATCCATCTGTGGGCGTCGGAGTTTCGATCGCTCGGATCGAACGGCTCAGGTGGGAGCAGTTTCGGAGCCTCAAGAAACTGCTGCGACTGCTGCGTCGTCGCCGTTGTCGTTTCGTGCTGCACTCCGGCAAGTCGTGTTACTCGCTCGAACTCGTTTCGCCACGCTTCGCGATCCGCTCGCATTTCCTCCTGGAGGGCTGCGATGCGCGCGAAGAGCTGCTGGGTAACCTCGGCGTTGTCGAAGGTTTCCATCCTGTTCAAAACACGCACGGAGGGGGTAATTCGAAAAGCGTGGAGCTGGTGCTTACCAGAATCGGCGTCGAATTGGTCACCCCCGGCGATTTTTCGAGGCAGGTTTTCCTGCTGCTGCTGCTTTGTTGAGCGCGGCCGAGTGAGAAAAGCTCTGATTACCAAGTGTCACAGGATCGAATGTGTCGAGGAAAGATTGCACTCTCGATAAGTACAAGGCGCTTTTATACTTCCAGAGTACATCAGGTAAGCAGGTTTATCTTATCCTAAGGGAATAGACCCTTCTAGAAGATAGAATCACCTTGCGTATAGCCACGCGAGGCTATTGGCTTTAAGGGATTACGGCAGGATTACGCTAGATATAGCGCACCAGTACATCCCAAACCTGGTCGGTGATATAAGTATAATAGCAGGATAAAGCAAAGGTTAATGGAAAATGGAGAATAGGAAACCAAATGAGATGAGATAAAAAGAGAAATGAAATAGGAAGGAAATAAGGAAAGGCCAAGTGGTGTAACGGGGTCGTACTCTCACACCAACCAATCCAACCAAGTTGGCCACCCTTGCCAACCTAGCTTGGTTGTTCCCAACCAATTTGCAGCTGTCACAGTAGAGTGACAAATTTTCCCAACCCCAAAGGTCCCAACTCCATATAGAGTCACCCCACAACTTCACTTTGTAACCGCCGCAATTGTAACGCAAGCTCATGAACTTCGAATCTTCATAGCTTTCGCGTTCTTGCTCCGATTGAAGCGATTCTTGTTGCGTCGGAAAGATCTTCTCAAGATCTATCACAAAATACCTGCTCAAGAAAAATAAAACAAAACACATTCCCAAACTCCAGAACACACACCACACAAATTCTTTCACACACAGTCAAACCATACATGCGAATTGAAACAAGGGATGGGAGGCAGATAGAATGTGATAGCATATGATGACATCACACAACAATCTCCCCCTCTGGCTGCCAACCATCATGCACCAGACCAACATCTCAAGCATGCATACTCAATGCACACTCATCCCAGCAAGCTTCATGCCCTTCCAATGATCCGCCTCCGCCAGACGCTTAGTGAAAATATCTGCTGCTTGCTAATGGGTCTTCACTATCTCCAGCCGCACCTCCTTATCAAGGAGTCTCCTCACCCAATGCCACTTAGGCCTTATGTGTTTTGTCAGCCCATGCAGACAAGCATTCTTGGCGAGCTTCACAGCAGATTCATTGTCACAAAACACAACTGTCGGCTCCTCCTGACCAACTCCCAACTCCTCCAACAAACGCCTCAGCCATACCACTTCTTTGACCCCATGGTGTAAGGCCATGTACTCAGTCTCACATGAGGACAATCCCACCTCATTCTGCTTCTTGTTGCGCCAGCTCACAGCAGCACCTCCTAGCAAGCACACATAACCCCCAATGCTGGTGCCATCCGCTTTCACTGAGTTGAAGCTAGCGTCAGTATAGCAACTCAAGAGCATCTCACCACTCTTCACATCTGCAACACCTCTCTGCAACCGCTGCCTCACTCCACTGTACTCCAATCCCACTGATGCCGTAGCGCTCACATAGCGGACCAACCTCTTGGCCGCTTCCAGCTGCTCATGACTAGGGCGTGAGACCACACTAGCCAACCGTGATATAGCAAATGTAATGTCAGGCCGTGTATGATTTGCAGCATAATTCAGCGACCCAACCATCGAATGAAACAGCTTCCTGTCACTCTCACCCACTACCTCCTCATCAGCACATGGCTCTACAGTAAACCCCGAAGGTAGTGGTGTTGCTGGCTTTCCCCCATTTTGCAGCCCATACTTCTCAGCCAGCCCCTCACAGTACTTCCTCTGGTGCAACCTCAGCACACCCTTTTCCACATCTCTCTCCACATGCATCCCCAGGTAGTACTTCACCTCACCCATCTTGGAACACTTGAACTGCATCTCCAGCATCTGCTCTGCACTGTCCAGCAAAGCAGTTGATGCAGAAAAGAGAAGGATATCATCCACGTACACCAAGAGCATGAGGATTTCATCCTTCTCCTGTAGCAGGAACAGGCTGGGGTCACACTCACTCTTCTTGAAACCCCCAGCCAGCAGCGCCTCCTCCAACTTGTGATACCGTGCACGAGGCGCCTGCTTAAGGCCATAGATGGCCTTCTTCAGCCTGCAGACCCTGCCGCTCCCATCATCCAGCCCCTCTGGCTGCTTCATGTACACCTCCTCCAGAATGATCCCATTCAGAAAGGCAGTCACAATGTCCATCTGCCGTATCTTCCATCCCAGGAGTGCAGCTATCGCCAACAGCACCCGCAGTGTTGTTCCTTTCCCCACAGGAGCAAACACCTCATCATAGTCCTTCCCCTTTGTCTGCTGAAACCCCCGTGCCACAAGCCTAGACTTGTAGCGGGTCAGCTCCCCTTCAGGTCCATACTTGTGCCTGTAGATCATCTTGGAAGTGATTGCCTTCTTCCCAGGAGGCAAGTCACACGTGTCCCATGTCTCGTTCTCAATCAGGGACCTGAACTCCTCATCCTCACTCGCCTTCCACTTCTCCCCATTTGGTCCATTCAAGGCCTCCTCTTGAGTCTTGGGCTCGGGGATTGGTGCCCAGTAGCAGTGAGCAATCTCATCTTCCTCAATCTGCTCAACCATACTCCCAGCCTGCACAACATTCGGCTTGCCTCTTCCCCCATAGGTCAGCCTCACCGGAGGGCGCACATCCCTCCTAGGTCTCTCAGGCGGGTGTGGAACACGAGGTGGAGACTCATGCTGCTGCTGCTGCTGTTGCTGCTGCTCCACTTCAGCTGCTCCCCCTTCCTCATTCACCCCAGACATCTCCTCCTCAGACACTGCAACCTCCACCTGTCTTGAAGGCCGCTGCACCTCATCTGCCTCCACAATGAGCGGTATAGATGGAAGCTTCTATTGCTGCTGCTTCCATTCCTTGTAGTACAGGGATTCAAGGAACTTCACATCCCTTGACACTGTCAGCTTCTGGGTGGTCAAGTCCCATAGCAGCCACCCCTTGTGATCCTTTGCAATCCCCAAGTGCACACCCCATCTTCCAAAAGCCTCCAACTTCCCCCTTTTCTCCTTGGACACATGAAACACCACCATGCACCCAAATGCCCTCAGCATATTCACAGCTGGAGCACTCCCATAGCACTTGACATATGGGATCCACTCCTTATCCCCAACTGTAGCCAGCACCATGTTCTTCACAAGTGCGACCTGCCTCAGTGCAGACACCCAAAACGGATCAGGCAGCCCTGCACGCCCAAGGAGAGTGCGTGCCCCCTCCTGCAGGGTCCTGTTGAATCTCTCAGCCATGCCATTCTGCTGCGGGTTGTAGGGCACTGTCAGTTGATGTTGGATCCCCTTCCTCTTCAACTCCCCCTCAAAATCAGATCCAATGAACTCCCCACCATTATCACTGCGGATCACCTTCACCTTGTGTCCGCATTCCCTCTGAGCTCTAGGCATCCACTCCTTAAGGACAGCCGCTGCCACCTCCCCCTTGCTCTTTAAAAGGTAAACCCACACTGCCCGAGTGTGGTCATCCACAATTGTCAAGAAATAGCGGCTGCCTGAGAGGGAAGGGGCTCTTGTGGGCCCCACCACATCTATGTGCACAAGTGCAAGTGGGGTCTTGGCTGGTCCTGTAGTGCTGTTGAAGGGGAACTTGGAGAACTTGGTCTCCAAGCATGTAGGGCAGCTCCCAATCTCCTTCATTCCCCCTTTCACCTCCAAGCCCTTCAGGCTCCCATCCTTCACCAACTTCTGCAGCATAGGGAAGTTCACATGACACAGCCTCTCATGCCATGTCTCCCAATCGGCCTCTCCACTCCTTAATGAAGCCTTAGCCCATGCCGCACTCGCATCCACACCAGCAAGCACCTCACCATGTATCTGCTGCTGCTACACTTTCTTGACTGCTTCCAGGACCCCATCAGTTGGTGCAGTTGCATCTCCTCCAGCTGTTGCCTTTGCCGCTGCTGCCGTTGCTGCTGTTGGAGTCTTCCCATTCCAAGGGATGATGGGCAGCTGCCACAGGTCCTTGATGCAGCTGTTCTCCTCTTCCAGACTCCACAGCACCTTCTTCCCAAGCTTAGCACGGCAGCTGGTTGGTCCAAAGGTCACTTCGGCCTTGCTCTTCTGCAGTCGTCGCACAGAGAGAAGGTTAGCAGACAAACCTTCAACCAGCAGAACATTTCCAAGCCCCACAAGCTCCCCGTTAGCTCCCTTAACCTTGGCATTTCCAACACCAATCACAGGGAGCAAAGCACCTGACGCTGCTGCCACATACTTGATCTATCCAAGGGGTTTTACCTCATCAAGCAAATCTGCCCGTGGGGTCATGTGACTGGTAAAACCTGAATCAATCACCCAGTGCGTGAGAGGGTGCATCACAACCTTTCCCACAGATCCCACATCACCCTCATGCCCATGCACATCCTCAACCATGAGAAACATCCCAAGATAGGTATTACCTTGTGCAGCTCCACCTTGTGCACCTGAGCCTTGCACAGCGCCACCTTGTGCGCGTTCACCACTGGGCGGCTTCATGCCTGGAGGTGCCCATCCTTCCGGCCTGCTAAAGCACTTGAACCAAGGATGCCCGACCTTCTTGCAGTACCAGCAGGTGCCCTCCATTCTGGTACTCCCCTTGCCACTGGAGCTCCCATGCCCCTCATTATAGTCACCTCGGCCTCTACCTCTGCCAAAGCTCCTCCCACGGCCTTGGCCTCTCCAACCTCCTCTTCCTCTGCCGCGCCCTGCAGCTCCATACCCCTCAGCAGTCTTAGTGGAGGCACCACCTCCCACATGGCGTCTGCGGAAGTCCTCCTGCAGAATCTGCTGCCTTAGCCACTCAGGTGTCCATTGATCTTGCTGAGAGTTGAGGGTGGGGATGAGGTTGTCCCAAGATTTGTCCAACACCGAGATGATCTTGGTGCACTGCTGCAGCTGAGATACACTGCTGCCCGCTGCTGCCATCCTTGCATAGGTGTCCTTAATCTTGTCAAGGACCGGCTTCACATCGTCCCCTGGTCGCATGGAGATGGCAGCAAGTTCCTTCTCGAGCACGATCACCATCGGGAGAGTGTTGGGCTGAATCACATCGCGTAGTAATTTCCACGCCCTTGGACCCGAATCATCCGCTTCCACAAGATCCTTGATGTGTTCGAACATCTCCTTGTTGACCGATTGAAGGATGAGATCGAAAAGCACCGCGCTTTTCTCAATCCACCGTTCACGTGATTCGCCTTCTTCCGGTATCTTCTCCTTCCCAACAGCAATCTTCAGTAGCTTGTAGCGTTTGAAGGCACTCCTCATGCGCCCGCTCCATTCCTCATAATTGGAGCCATCCAAAGCTTCAACTTTTGATGGTGGCGGCTCACTTGTCTTCTCAGGTACAGCTCCTCTTCCATTAGCATCTCCTCCTCTCTCATTCATCTTCTCCTTGAGAAATGACAAATTTCAGCTCCCCTTTGCTGTCCACACACAGCTCCCTTGATATTTTCACAAGTGTCGGCGTCCACGAAATTTCGGCAGAGTTTCCCCTTAGCGGAAGACACATCCAACCTTTAGAACACCACTTAGGCACACCCACAGGCCAAGGTGGGTCTAGAAGGGTCTTCACAATTCTGTAGACTCCTCTCAATGTCCTTAATATGGCTCTGATACCACTTGTTAGGATTAAGGACGGAGTCTAGGTGTGTTTAGGAGCTAGAATTACTCAAAATATAAATCCGAAATTCTGGACAGAAAAGTTGTCTTCACAAGAAACGACGTCAACGAAAACCTAGCCGTTGGAATGTCGCGAAACTTGGCTATGTTGTAGCTTATAATCTTAGCTACCGTTCTCAATTTGAATCACGTTGATTGATGAAGTATTCGCAACGCTATGTCTTTCGACGCACTGGGGGGTAAGCTGTAGGAGGAGAACTTAACTCAATCTCAAAAAGTTCAATTGAAGTTCAAGAATCTCACAAGGAATTAGAGGAGCAAGAGAAAGGTTGGGATGGAAGAGAGGGATGAGAGGGAAGGTCTCAAGAGAGTCCCCAACCAAGGAAACCCCATAAGCACAAAGATTTCCTCCCTATAGGAACCCCAACTTTGACATTTGTCCCTTCCCAACCAATCCAACCAAGTTGGCCACCCTTGCCAACCTAGCTTGGTTGTTCCCAACCAATTTGCAGCTGTTACAGTAGAGTGAAAAATTTCCCCAACCCCAAAGGTCCCAACTCAATATAGAGTCACCCCACAACTTCACTTTGTAACCGCCGCAATTGTAACGCAAGCTCATGAACTTCGAATCTTCATAGCTTTCGCGTTCTTGCTCCGATTGAAGCGATTCTTGTTGCGTCGGAAAGATCTTCTCAAGATCTATCACAAAATACCTACTCAAGAAAAATAAAACAAAACACATTCCCAAACTCCAGAACACACACCACACAAATTCTTTCACACACAGTCAAACCATACATGCGAATTGAAACAAGGGATGGGAGGCAGACAGAATGTGATAGCATATGATCACATCACACAACAACTCGGACGACAACGAGTTTCGCCTTTACCATGGGAAGGGCGGCCTTTTCATCGGCTGCGCTCTCCTCAAGTCGGGCGTCTTCGTGCTGGATTTCGTCCCCGACCGCGGTACTGCCGACAGCGATGGCATCGTGCCGTTTGCCACCTGGACGCACCCACCGGATCTTGACCCCGACTTTAATCCAGTCGGCTTCTGATACTCCAACACCATCCCTGCAGCAGAAAGAACATGAGCATTAGCAGTCATCCGACAAGAACGGCAAGTACCACCAAGCGTCCCTCACATAACATCACCTGTAGTAGCAGCAGCAGGACCCAGCCGTACGCCATCACCAACAATCCGAGGACCGCCATCCGAAGCAGATCAACTCATGCCCATCACCCGAGGAATCTGTCGCAGTCCTGCAACGGTCGTCGCATTCTTCTCCAACGCTGACATGTACCAGCGCTCACCCGGCCATCGCACATTCGACGACATCTGGCATCAACGCCTCGGGCATCCTGCAAACAACACCGTGCTACAAATCATACAAGCCGGAGTGTTAGAAAAGAACGCTCTTCTCACAACGAGCGGCCAGGAACTTCGACGACCCTGCGCACGATGCTTCACGTGCCCCGAAGCCGATCTTTCCCACCAACCTTTTTCGTCGCACCACAATCCAAGCGCACCTGCATACGCACCGATGAAAAAGGTCTACAACGACATCTTAAATATGCCTCGAGACGACAGAGAAGCAGAGTACAACTATGTTATAACGTTCATCGACGCAGCAACACGATACGTCTGGCACTACAACCTCAAGACACGCGATCAAGCGTTTGAAGCCTTCACGGCATGCCTGCCTATCGCTGAACGAGAATCGGGCTCGCAACTCAAGAACTTCCAGTCAGACGGAGCACTGGAGTACCAGTCACAACGATTCATGAACTACTTGGCAAAAAGAGGCATCAGACGCCTCGTGTCTCTGCCCTGCGCTCACCAGCAGCAGGGGGTCGCAGAGAGGATGAACCGAACTTTGCAGACAACGATGCGGAAGCTGCTCCTGGGGATGAGATTGCCCAACACACTTTGGCCTGATGCGATGATGCATGCAGTCCACCTGCACAATTTGCTGTCCTCGTCATCACTTCCCAACAGCGCATCACCGCACCTGCTGTGGACAGGAAAACAGGGCAGCACAAAATTACTTCGATTCTTTGGCTGCATGGTACAGGATAGACCCCACATAGCCCGAGCAGGTCGATTCTCTAAACGAGCACAATGGGGACTACACACCGGCATCGCAAAATATTTCCAAGCATGGAAAGTTCTCGACATTCAGGACAAAACCACCGTGGCCTCACGTGATATGATTTTCTACGAGCGACTGATGTTGCAACATTACCTGGACAACATCGCCACCACAGACGACCCCACCGACGGCTTCGACGGCCATCGGTTCTTCGCCGACCATGCTGCCGAAGCTGACGCAGCAGAAGAAAACGTACCTGGAGCCTCGGAAGCTGCCGGACCACTCCCTTACTGCTCCGTGCCCGTTCCACTCGACGACGACAATCCCCTCGATAGTAACAATCTCGACACCTATTACCACTTCGCTGACCAGGGTTACGTCACACCTCAACAGGTCGATACAAATGTCTCAGAACTCATCGGACCAAATTTCTTACCTGATCTCGAAGACGGTGACGAAGCAGCTTATCCCGAGAATACCAATTCCCCTCGACACACACCCACGGGCCTGCAGATACTTGGATTATGGGTCGCCGTCCAGAGCCCGCCACCGCCGTCACCACGCGAGCCATCGACTCTGTCGCAGGCTCTGGGGGGGGAACACAAGCAATGGAAAAGGAACTGAAGGCCCTGCAAGACCGAAATACGTGGAAGCTGGTATCTGCGACAAAAACCAACGGGAAAAATGTGCTCTCGGGGAAATGGGTGTACCGCTTCAAGACCAATTCGGACAGCTCCATTGACCAATGGGAAATGGGTCGTACGAGGATTCGACCAGCGATATGGAACCGACTACACGGAGACATTCGCCCCGGTTTCCCGACACACTTCCCTGCGCATTTTGCTCGCCGTCACGGCCACGGAAAAGATACCACTGCGCCAGATCGATGTCGCCAACGCCTTCTTGTATGCACCTGTGGACGCCGAAATCTTCGTTGAACAGCCCCACGGATTCATCGACGATCCCACCAAGGCGTGCCAGCTGATGAAATCCCTCTACGGAATTAAACAAGCCCCGCGGCTCTGGCAGCAGCACCTCCACGACCGCCTTGTCAGGATCGGTTTTCTGCAGCTGCCGCACGATCAAGGCATGTACCGACTACAGAAGAGGGGGGATTTTGTCCTACTCATCATCTACGTCGATGATCTACTCTATGTCGGCTCCATTGCCGACGTCACCACCTGGTTCGAAGGGGAGCTGAGGAGGGATTTAACACTCACGGTGTCAGACACCGTGAGCCAATACCTGGGTCTAAACATCGTGGAAGGTGACTCAGCGCTCTACCTACACGTTGGAAAGTACTCAGGCGCTGTCGCAAAAATGTTCGGACTAACGCCGGTCGCAGTCGTAACTCCCTATGGCCGCAGACTACCTGACGAAGAAACTGGCAAAGGCAAAGCTTGATTACTGCATGCTGCTGACCGGGCAGATAAACGTCACCGAGTTCGGACACGTCAGCACTCCAGAAACGAAGGGGAGTGTTGGAAATACCCCGAGGACTTAAGCATTTCTGAAGTCTAACACTACACTCGAGGAAAGTCTTATCGAGTACGCGAGTCAACGAAGGTTACACGAGGAGGTTGGACGACTGACCGTTACGACTGCAAGGATGGTCGAACCGACGACGATCGAGTCGCTGTGCGACTCGATAACCGTTCCTTCAACTGTATTCTACAATTGCTCTATTTCCTACTCTCTATATATTCCTGTAGAAACTGAAAGAATTTGAAAGGTGGTGCAGGAGACTAAGTATAGAATCTGCAGACACAAGTACTTGAAGCAGAAAGTAATACTGGAAGTACCTCCAGTAACAGCCAGTATTAACAAGTTGTAACTCCAGAGTCAGTGTTACAGCCTTGCGATACTTCAAGACTTACCAAGGATCTTTGCTGGAATGGTAGACTAGTAAGACAGCAGAAGTCTTAGAACTAGTTAAGTGTTGACCAGAATATTCTGAAGAACAAGTTAATATTTGAAGTTTGTACAGGCTACTTTTATATCTGCTAGAAGTACCCTATTCGGTGATGTACAGTTCGAGCTATTTGCTCTATGCGCTCTAACTGCTACTGAAAAGAGCGCGACTGTTCGCGTGACTGAAACGGCTTGCTGACGTAACCATCCAGACGAGCGTTATTTGCTGACGTCATTCTATGGATGCTAACTACAGTGTAACTCGACAATATCTATCGAGATTACTTACAGAAATGCTTAAGTACAATTTTACCACAACAGAAACGACCCAATAGTGAATATGTCTTTGGAGGGGCGGGCTGTCAGCTTATACATATATTGTTATGTAGAAGTTAGAGGCTAGATAGGGTATGTTCTTAGTGGGTACAATACAACCCAAACGCTATATCTCCCCTGTTCTCCATTCTTCTATTTATTCTTTCTAGTCTTAACATGGTATCACGAAAAGGTAGGTCCACCCATCCGCTTCCACCCCATGCCGCCACCTACCGGACCCTCGCGCCCCTAGCTGGCCCCGCGTGCCCCTACGGCTCCGTCGCGCCCTTACGGCCCCTCTGCGCCCCTACGGCCCCGTTGCGCTCCTAGCAGGCCCCGTCGCGCCCCTACGGCCTCGTCGCGCCCATACAGCCCCGTAGCGCCCCTAGCAGGCCCCGTCGCGCCCCTACGGCCCCTCGCGCCCCTAGCCGGCCCCGTCGAGCCCCTAGGTAGCCCCGTCATGCCCCTACGGCCCCGTCGCGCTCCTACGGCCCTGTCGCGCTCCTACGGCCCCGTCTCGCCCCTAGCCGGCCCTGTCGCGCCCCTACCGGCCCCGTCGCGCTCCTACGGCCCTGTCGCGCCCCTAGCCAGCCCCGTCGCGTCCCTACCGGCCCCTTGCGTCCCTAGCCGGCCCCGCGCGCCACTACGGCCCCGTCGCGCCCCTATCGGCCCCTCGCGCCCCTACGGCCCTTCGTGCTCCTATCGCCCCCCCCC